CTTGATGGCTTGGCACATGACACATTAGTGGTGCAGTGATGGTGATGGTGACTACTTCCTCCAATGCCATCCAACTTTAGGTCACTAAAAATAAAAGTAACAGTCTGATCCTGGTCCGAACTATCTTCATGGTGAGGATTTATACATTAACTAGGATTCCTACCCGAAATAAGATGCTAGCGTAGAACTATGCCTCTAGAACCCAAAATGTGGGATTCAACTACCCATTTTCCTAAAAATTAATGTCTTTAAATATATCAATAAGTAGCCTGCTTTGACAAGTTGATACAAAAGTATAAAAACCGTTGGCCTCGACTCCATTAATATTCTCTTGTCCATATTGCTTGGAAGCGAAAACGACTGTCGTTTTTTCCAATGTTAAGTTTCGAAGACATTAAATGCCAATTAAGGAACAAGGACAACGAAGTGACGGCCTTGTCGTGTACGTAACGTAAGCGAAATTGGGGAAAGAAAAGTATTTTTCCTTGCTCCTGACGTCACCATAAAAAGTGAGGGTTTCATAAAAAAAAATTCGTCTACCAAATCAACCTTGGATTAAATTCTTTCCACTCTTGTATGAAAAGGGCCATGTCTTTAGGTGACTCGATATGATTTAGACTTGGCCCATATAACAGGAGGTCTAAGCTCGAGGTTCCGGAAGGTTGAGTGGTTTGAGGAACGTACGAGACAAGAAACACGGTCTTCATCGTCATTGCCCCAAATGTACGAATCCGTGCGGTTAAGACAGTTCCTTTGTGCGTCCTGAGTCAAATTTTCGACACAACTGAAACAAGCTTGCCAATTGTATCCTCTTGCGCAGAGGTCAAGAGCGTGAACTTCGTTGAGATCTTGGCCGAATGGAGCGTTGTAGAATCCACCATTGGCCAATAGTACCATTAAATTAACTTAATTTTTTTTTAAAAATTATATTATTCCAAAATGCCATTAAAATGATTTTTTTTTGTTTTTTTCAAAAACACCACAGACACGAAAACTGATTTTTAAAGGTTTATAATTTAAAGATTTGACTTTTGATTAACTATTTTGGGGGTTAGAGTATAGTTTTTAGGGGTTATGATTTTTTTTTTCTTTATGGTCTAGAGTTTAGTTTTGAGAATTTAGGATTTAGTTTTATTTTTGTATTATTTTTGTTTAAAATATCATTTTAGTGGTATTTTCGGAATTATAATATTTCTGAAAAAAAGAAAACTTATTTTTGTGGTATTTTTGAGAATTATCTTCAATTATATATGAACACATTTTATTAATTTAAAAGGTTTTTAATATATATGGAATCTGTTCAAATAACTTTTTTGTAAAACGAAAAAGGTAAATAAATTTGTTTCCAGTAAAGGTAGTTTTCATATTTAACATTCAAACAAAGTATTTGGCTAAAAATAACATGAAAACTAAAATTCTTTCACCTCTAGCATTTTTTATTTGCTCTATTCCGATTTTACTCTTTAGTAAAAGATCTTTATATTTCGGACGGTCTTGATAAATATTTTCTAAATGTGTATTATCGTTTACTAAATATTTTAGACTATTTAGGAAAGTCATCCTATATATTTATGAAAGTCTTCCTAAATGTGTATGATCATTTCATAATCTACGATCTTACACATTTATTATAACATTTATAAATGTGTAGGAATGTCTTTTTAAATAGTATGAAATATATATGCAACGAGAATACTATTTAGGAAGGCCTTCCTAAAAGATGGGAAAAGCTTCCTAAAAATCTATCTCTCCTAAAAACCCTAAATGTTTCTATGGCCGCCACCACCTGATCCGGCCTGTCAGAGCCTTTATTGCTTTTCGCTTTCCATCCATCTTCCCCATCTACCTCGTTTTTTTCTCTCATCTCGTCTTTTACCCCTCTTTCTAGATCTGAATCTAAAGTATGCAGGTCTTCAGTCACATCATTCAGATCTGGTGTTGCCAATGCCAGATCCGCACTCATTTCTAATATCTGCCATACTCTTCAATCGATGCCGTCATTTTCAATTTTACACTCGTTTTCAATCTCACACTTGTGATTGATGAAAATGCTAATCGTCAGAAAATACTCTTCAATCCCGATTTGAAATTAGAAACTGGGTAATATCTAAAAGATGAAGATCACGATTTGAAATTTAAAACTGGGCAAAGATGAATTCAAAATCGCCGGCTTAAACAGGTTTAGCGTCTTATTGTAGTGAGAGTAATAAGGTCAGTTTAAGATGAAATATGTTATGGGTGGAAATGTTTTAGCGTGTGTATAGGAACTAAAACATGATTTCATGTTAAATCAAAGAATTTTTCTTTCAGTACTGTGGATTTTCATGATATCATAGATAAAAAAACTGAAAAAGCTTATAACGTATCTTTTTAATCTACTGTCTCTCATTTCTGTAACAAGTAGTCTCGACTCATTGGCAAAGAGTCATCTTCTTTCTATTATTATAATTAAAGTTTAAGTTTAATATAACCAGTGTTTAAACAAAAAAAAAACTTTCATAGTATCAAAAGTCCTTCTTTTCATCGTATGAAATCTTAAATATTATTTAACAAGTAACTTAAATAAAAAAAATCTGATATGTTATAAGAAGAACAAATGTCAGTGTTTTCTAATGATGATCTGGATATGTAATATGACAAATTTTCTAAAATAAACGAAATGTTTTGATTGACTGAATTATAATTAACTAAATTATAAAATCATAATATAAATACACTAGATTATACAGTATAACTTTTATAAATTAATAATATTAGGACTCCCAAATTTTATTAATAGAGCTATTAATTACTCGATAAATTAATAATCAAATAATATTTTATTAATTTATAGAGATATTTTTGGTTCGAATTCTTAGTGTTCATCAAAAGATAAAAATCAATATTTTCAATGTAAAGTTTATTCAGAAAATGTTATAACAATGAATTTGGAAGATAAATCAAACAAATTTATAAACTTAAAACAACAATATAATCATATTTTACTATATTATATTATTTATATATGTTTAAATTTATAATTACTAATCTATATTATTATTATGACCAGATTTTTACATAGGAGTTCTAAAAATATTATCTTATTTAAATTTTTTAATTTTTACACTGGCCAAACTTGGGAGCAGCAAATTTATTAATTTATAGTGATTATTAATTTACTGAGTATTAAGTTTTAGATATTTTAATATAATACTAAAATTAGCAAATTAAAATAACAGAAAATGGTAATTGTTATGATTTCAAATGTTTTACATATATTCATAATTGATTGCATAAAATATGATTACAAAGTAATAGTAAAAATAAAAATATTTGTCTACAATTTTGGTTTTTTTGTAAAACTCTTTTGCTTTGTTTTGCAAAGTCATTTAAAAATTATAAAAAGCAAATTTTATAATGAACACATGCGTGCAGGCCAACCATAAAAAAAAAAAATCTTTATCAATCCAATTCCTCAATAATGAACGAAGGGATGAGCGGAGATGTGCCAATTTTTTTTTATAAAATATAATTTCACAAATTTATAATATTTTTTTAATTTTTTTATTGAAATAGAAACATTAATACTAGATTATGCAATCTACTATACGTATTTTCATGGCGTAAAGTAAAATATTATAGTTTTTAATTCTTTTAGACACTACAAAAAAAATTGAATATTGTGACAAAAAGATTGTGACAAATTATTTTGTTATAATACTATGACAATTTATATACAAAACTGTGACAAATTTATTTGGTAATAAAAATGTTACCATTTTGTCATAATATTGTGACAGATTCAAAAGTAACAAATTTTTGTCAATAATTGTGACAAGTTTGTTATAAAATATATAGTTACAAATATTGTTATGGATTTGTGACTAAATCTAATTACTATATTATATAATTTTGATAACTAAACTTAAGTCACTCATAGTTACAAATATTTTATAAGTATCTCGTCACATGTAATTACTAATTTGTAATGTTTACATTAAGTCATAATATTATGACGTAATTATTACCATTTTGTGATAGTATATAATAATTAAAAATAGTATAAATGATATAATAAAATATAAAAAATAATATTCTGATTCATCATTAATTAATCTGAAATCAGAATTTATATCTTTAACCTCAGATCTAATTTCTATTTCTATTTTGATGCAAATAATCAGTTTGAACAAGAAAACCATCATTTTCATATTGCATTACATTGAAATCCAATTTTTGGTTAACTAATATTTCCTTCCTCACTTGTTTCAAAATGGCTGCTTTAGTGGTATTTTTTAAAACAAAACAAATATACAAAACAAATTCATCACTTGTAAAAAATTTCAGTTATTATCATATTATATCACATACTAACCTTAAACATAATATATAATCATCATACATATAAACAAAATCCAACACCTATAAAAGATTTTTACAAAATTTAATTATAATATTTTCTAAATCATAAACTCTCTAGCTATCCAAATCCTAAAACTTAAGTCCCAAAATTTAAATAAGGAACTCTAACTCTTAATCAAATTTTACACTCAACTAAATAAAAAACTTCTAAATCCTTTAACCATAACCAAAATACAACACTTATAAAAGCTTTAGAAGAAAATATAACTATTTTCTAAATCCTAGTTCCTTAACTTCATATCCAAATACTTAAATCTTAGATCCAAAATTATGAACTCTTTAAAAAATGCATAAAAAAAAAATTGATGACAAACAAAAAGAAAAACTGGAAAGCCTAGAAATAAGAGAATAAAAAAGTTGATTTTCTATTGGTTAATCAAAAAAAATAGGGATCACACTTCTTGTATTATCTACCGTTGATAAGATGAAATCTAACGTACACAAATATTTTCTCTTTTTTCCCTTCTTTTTCTCTTCTCTTTCTTCCTCATAATTTCTTCTTCTCCTCTCTTTATTTTCTGTAACTTCTTCTATGGATTACTCTTTGTCCGCTATGGTGGTGTTCAACCGCTGGGAGATAGATGAAGACACAAAGACCAATGAAGGTTGCATTACGGTATTCGACAACGATGATGACGAATAACTGGTGAATGTGGTGGCCGTAAAGTTTAGAGTGAGCAAATTAATTTTGTGCATCAAATGGTGAGTCCGGCGGCCCTAAGGTTTAAAGTGAGCAAAGTAATTTTGTGCATGATTTTGATTCAATTTAAGGCTAATAGTATTTATAGTTAAGTCTTATTTGATTTTGCTTCTGATTTCAGGGCTTGATCGAGAATTATAAAGAGCTTGAAGGCTATAGTATCACGGTTAACGAGGCTCAGTCAAGAGACATCAATGATGGTGGTGTTGGTCGCCATAGCAACAGTGATGATGGTCGTTACTACAGCGGTGGTTGTAGTAGTGCTTACCGCACAACGATAGTGGTAGATATGGGAGAAGCATGATGGATGAAACACAATGACAAAATATTTTATTTTTTATTTTTATGTTTTTAAAATTTAATAGTGTATTATTTTAGTTTTATTGTATATATTATAAACTATTATTATCAATAAAGACTTTTTTTAATTACAGATCAACTAAATAAATAATAGAATGGTAATTTAATATAAAAATATTTGTCATATATCATTTCTGTGATTATAATTTAACAACTAAAAATAACAAATTTGTAACATTATTTTATTAGCAATTTATAATGGAATAGCGATTTAAATATAGTAATACTTTATGATAAATATGTGACAGTTTTTTGTCATAATTTATGACATAATTGTAACAGTATTTTTTTGTCACAGATTGTAACATGTTCTGTGACTATTTTAATTTTGTCACAAGTAGTGACTAATTGTTACTGTTGTTAATTGTCATAAATGTTTTTGATGTTTTTGAGACTAAAATAAATTTGTGACGTTTTTATTGTGATCTTTTATAATTTGTAATATTATTGTCATAATATAAATTTTGTGACAAAATATTTATATATTGTGACAAAACAAATTGTAATAATATTCATGTTTTTTTGTAGTGAGAAGTTCTTTGTAATTTTTGTTAATATTGAATATAAATTTTAAATTGAAACTGCATAAAAACGTTAAAAAGAATAAGAAATCTTGATAAAATACAAAAACAATAGAAACCATTTTCGTGGTTGTTGTTAAACACCAAAAACTGCACCGTGTAAAAATATATTGTTTGTGGAAAGTATCGGAAAAACTAATCAAAACCTAAATATCATAATTTTATTTCTAACTCGTATATGCATGCACAAACATACGTACTTAGTTCTTTTTAAAATTCAAAACATACATTATAAAAATATATATTACAAAAATATACTTTGTTATTTTTATTTAACACATAAAAGCCACTCTTCGACTTTTCACAAAATATACATGCAAATATGAATATTATTTGCATGAAAGTCAAAGTCGCATACTGTGCATGCATTTTGTTAACTTTGATTAATTTATATTTGTTTTTTAAATCTCTATGTGCGGACCAACCATATAACCATTCTTAGGATAAGTAAAGATGGTAAAATCTATTTTTTATTAATTTGTAATAGGACAAGAAATAAATATATATATATATATATATTAGCAAGATTATATTCTGTAAGGAGAAAATGAAACATAGTATAGATAATATTCAAAAACATATTGTATGAATTTAATTATTATTTAATATAAATTTTACATGTGTAATTATATTTCAGTGTAAATGCTAGGAAAATATTTTTTCAAATATAAATAAGTTTTTAAAAGCACCAAACGATATGAAACGTTTGGTTGATTGTTGTTAAATATTAAAACTGTATTTGTATACGAACATAGTATTTGTAAAATGAATGAAAAAACTAATCAACACTTAAATATTACAACTAACTGTAGAAAAAATCATACCTGTATATATTTTTATTTTTATTATATCAATATTTCAGGTGAAGAGAAAGCATACATTAGCTCTAACAGCATTATTCCTTCAGATAAAGATACATTGAATATTGTGGACTACCTAACTGAGTTTTTAAATAGCATCAAAGTTTCTGAATTACCGAAACATTGCTTAAAAGTAAAGGTTTGTGCTCCAGTCATGTGTCTTCGTAACATTGATCTTATCAGTGGAATATGCAATGGAACTAAATTTATTATTACTCAAATGGCTTGATATGTGGTTGGATGTAGAATTATAACGGAAAATAAGAATCTGAATGGCCAAATAGTTCTAATCTCTATGTTGTATGTGACACCACGAGACACAAGGTTTTCTTTCAGAATGCGTCGAAGATAATTTTCTTTGGCTTTAACTTTGCAATGACCATCAACAAAACCAATGAAAATCACTTGAGAATGTCGGTTTGTTACTAGCTAAACCAGCTTTCTCTCATCGACAGCTATATATTGCATTTTCTAGAATTAAGTCTAAATCCGGGCTTATAGTTTTCATAAGAGACAAAGAAGAAATTGTGTAAAAAAAACTATAAGCGTTGTCTACGAAAAAATATTTCAAAATTTTGCTTAGTTTTTATGCTTTTGATATATTTTAACTCTACCTTTTTATATGTTTTAATATTTTCTGTTTATTTAGTTATCATATTTATATTTTATATTGAAATATATAACAATTTTCATTTAATTTATAGTTATGTTGTTATATTAAATATTTATATAATATTATTACTTAAAAGATAATTAATTATGTACAAGTAGTAATAAATCAATATACAATATTAATCATATATTAAACATATAAAATATTTTATAGACCCATAATCATATATTAAATATAAAAAAAAAATTAGTTCGCACATGGTGTCAATCGATCACCTATTGTTAAATATCTGCAGTTCACCCAAAACATCTCATAAAACAAAACTGAGGGAATATATGTTTTGAAACAACATTTTGATTCACTCATTGATAACTCAACGAGAACTCAACTCTGTGAAAACAATGTTCATTGACATTGTACTACTTTTAGATTGGGACTGAAGACTTCCAGTGAAAGCAGGAGCGTTAGGTAAAGGAATGATGATAGTCTCACTGCCAAACCAAACTAGTACTGAGCTCATGGTTGGTCTCTTTGCTGGATTCTCTTGAACACATAATAAACCAATCTGAATCAACTTAGTTATCTCGTTCATCGGATCTTCTGCCAGTAAAGGATCAATTATAGTCTCAGGCTTTCCTTCAACCCATCTCTTCCATGCCTGCACCAAGAAAATATGTTCTTACTCTCTCTACATATGCTAAAAAAATTATGAAGCAAAGACTCATATAATGTGAAAGAAGCTTACAAAAGCTGCAAGTCCTTCTCCCTCAAAGCTATTGTTTCTTTCCCCACTTATCATCTCTAGAAGCATAACACCAAAGCTATATACATCAGATTTAGCTGATATTTGACCGTGGTTCAGGTATTCAGGAGCCATATATCCACTGCAAATAAGAAAAAAATCATGATTGTTTGATCCAAGAATGTCTCTAACATTCTGTTAAAAAAACAAAAATATCCAAAATGATCTATAACGAAAAAATAATGTGAAACATACATTTTTTACTCTAAAAAATATATTATCAATATCAGCATTACTTTTTAGACACTTTTCCAAGCAAACTAATGACATACTAAATACATAACAATAGCAAATTAATTGGTTATACAATTCAAAGTAGATTAAATACATATTAATGACAAACTAAATATAAATTAATAGCAAACTAATTTCAGACTGAGGCTATACTTAGAGACCCATTTTATACTTTTCCCTATAAAAAGTTCTCTTTTCACAATAAAATTGCCAACAGACTGTCTAAACAAATGACCCAAAAAAATACTTATATGTAATCAAAGTTTATTGATATGTTCTTACCGAGTTCCAGCTATCCGTCTTGTTTCAGCACGAGTCTCATCAGTGTCGAACAACCTTGCTGTCCCAAAGTCTGCAACTTTAGGGTTCATCTCTGCATCTAGAAGGATGTTGCTCGCCTTCAAGTCTCGGTGAATAATCTTCAGCTGAGAATCTTCATGAAGATAAAGAAGACCTCGAGCAATACCTTCTATAATTCTGAACCTCACCTCCCAAGTGAGAAGCGAACGCTTCTCTTTATCTGTGGATTTCAGAGAAAACACTCTTTTGCTAAATTTTTCAAGAAGTATTGTAATCAAAATGCAGCGTCTTAAGAAGACTCACCAAAGATAAAATTATCAAGACTTGAATTAGGGACAAGCTCGTAGACAAGAATCTCTTCATCTCCTTCATTACAGAACCCAAGAAGCTTAACAAGATTCCTATGTTGGAGTCTTGTCAAGAGTGAAACCTCATTCTTAAACTCCATATCTCCTTGTCCTGAACCTTTTGATAATCTCTTCACCGCTATCTCTTGCCCGTTTGGTAATCTCCCCTGAAACCGGTTCTCAAGATCTGTTACTCTCATTCAAGACCCAGGGAATAACTCATTAATTACTAAAAATATTGTTACTACCTTATGAACCGTACCAAATCCACCTTGGCCAAGCTTATTGTCAGAAGAGAAGTCATCGGTTGCCATTGAGACCATACCAAGATTAAATCGTAACATAAATTGACCAGCAGAATCAGAGTACTCTGCAGTACCAACTAAAAAAATAATAAAAAAATAAGTCTCTTTGTCTCTACATCATGAGGTTTATTGGAGCACGAATGAAGGGTATACTTACCATCGGTTATGTAACTCATGTTGTTTGATTTTCTCCTCCGAGCATAGAGTTTTATGAAACCAATAAACACCAAAATATTAATGAAAGTAAGTACCACAATTATCACGATAATTCCGCTAGACCCTAAGCTTCTTCCTGCAAATTATTAAACTTTTTTTAGTATAAGAACCTCTTTATCATATACTTGCAAATTGTAGCAATGCTCTGGCTATCTTGTTTTACCTTTCTTGTTTGTTATAGAGCTCTCCTTTTCCTGAGCCTGAGGTCGAGGAGGCGCAGGAACTCTTGTTAAATTATCAAAATTACCATGGAAAGAATATAGATCCCACCTGAAAAAACAGCTCGGACGATTTACTTCTCCTCCTTTTCTTCCCCAATACTGGTTTTTATAAAGCGTCACGCAATCTCCCAAACATCTCTTGCAATCTTGGGAAGTTATGTCGGGTGTGCACTGCATCATCATGTAAACATTTGGATACTCATTGAACTCGGCTTTATCGGTACCATAGTACTTAAGTACCGAGGAAGTTTCAGTTTCAGTGGCAGCCTCGACGGTCCGGTTAACCATTGCGTCCCACTGATGTTCGAAAAGGGTAATGTTTTTCGATGGCTCGATACTATCTGGACTTGGATGTAAAACAGGAGGTCTAAGCTCGAGGTTCCCGTAGGTTGAGTGGTTTGAGGAGCGTACAAGACAAATTTCATCCTGTTTGTCCCACGTGAACGAATCCATGCGGTCTAGACAACTCGTTTGTATGAGTCGAGTCGCGCTTTCGACACAGTCGATACAAGCTTGCTGTTCGTAGCCTCTTGTGCAGAGGACAATAACGTGAACTCTGTTGGGACTTTTTCCGAGTGAAGCGTTGTAGAATCCACCATTGGCGACGACTTTGTTAGGAAGAGTAGAGAAGAGATTGTCGCGATTCTGAACGTAGCTACTGTTAGCGTTGAAGATGCTCCCGGCACACCCGACGGCGTTAACGACTTCTAGGGTTTGAATGAAAAGAAGAAGAGAAAAAGCGAGGAAGATCATCAAAGCAGGGCATTTCCCCATTTTAATGATAAAAAAGTAATTTCTTGTTATTGTTAAGAAGTGATAAGTTTTAGAGCTTTTTCAGATTTATATAGGTGAGATGAGCAAACGAGCGCATTGGTTGGCTTCCAGACTCAGAAGATTCTGGTCAGACAAACGTGATCGTTGGTCGTTGGCTGCTTGGTTATGATATGTGTATGTTCCACAAGTCATCTTATGGGTAAATGAAATATTAATATGAGCTGTACTTAGAACATTACTGAAAGATAGTTCTGATCCCTATGTTAAAGTTCAGTTAGCTTATGTTTCAAATTCAGTTATGTTCCATGTTGTTAGTTTCAAGTACAGTTTATGTAACTGAACTGGTCTTAACTAGCACTCGTTGATCTGCCTTGTAATTTAAATATAGTGGAATGAAGAAAGAGAGAAAAAACAAGAAAACAAATTCGTGGAAGGCCCCTTGGTATATCAGGAGATTTACTCTTTATTTTTCATCTCTCTGGTTTCATATTGTCTATTTATTACAGATAAAACGTTTATAGATTAAAAAAATAACCAACTTACAGATAAAATTGTGAAATATTTTTTGAAATAGTTCAGTTACAATTTCTAATCATTAATAATAGCTCACCTACTAATAATTTTTCCCTGTCTTTGTCATGTATCATGAAATGTAAGATATAAATAAATTTATTAAATGCCAAATGATATGGATGATTTGTTCTGCAAAATCAGATTCTTCAATTAGTTTCACAAAAACAACGATTTGTACTCTTCTTTGTGAAATTGGAAGATATTTTTTAGTTAGTATTTTTTCCTCTTTTTAGTTAGTCTTATATTGGTTAGCAATAGAAAATATAGAGCTTATAAAATAAGAATAAAAAGACTAACTAAAATGAATTGATAAGTGCCGAAAATATAAATCATATAACTTTTTTAAAACGGAAAATGTATAAAATTAGTAAAGGAGGTACATCGGAGTTCGTTGATTAATGATATACGGAAGATTTTGATTATGTTTTTCTATTTAGTCAAGTGGATTTTGATAATGTAAAGGTTGGTTTATTTCTAAGAATGCAAGGTCGTCTATATAATTGTTTTTCCCCCTTATGCAATATAGTAATTGAGACAAAGGTTTTGTCGTGCAGTATATATGTCCAAAAAATAATGGTTATTTATGCAGTTTGGCTAATTAAGACTTTTAGAAAAAGAGAAATTATATTATATATTCATGCAAGAAGCACCGTGATACTTTCATGAAAACTAAGACCTTTCAATTAAAAAAAAAGAAAAAAAAGTTATTCAAGAGTTTAGCTCATTGTGAGAGCAAAATTTTGAGTGGATGTAGATATTTATGTAGTTTTTAATTTGGTTTAAGTTTTTCGCTTTTAATTTTTAGTTTCACGTTTTTTTTAAGAAAATATGAGGCTAAACGAATTTTGTTTCAAATAATATAGGAAAGATAAAGCAAAAGCTAGATTCTCTAGTTTATAAAATGAGCTTCTTGCAAATATAACGAGAAACTCACTTGAAAATTTTGGTCAAAGAAAAAAAACGCACTTAAAAACTGCTACCACTCAATACATCATGATAATATTATTAAATATTAATGTACTTCAAAGGAAGTAGCGTTTCATGGAAGAGAAGACCAAGACTCTTCGTTCAAATGTGGACATAGAGGAATATTGATTTTATGTAATAAAAATATGTCATCCGTTTGGATTGACACATTATTTTTTTGACCCTAGTCCCGCTTTAAAGTTGGGTAGATATCTAGTTTTTAGATATTCATAAAAGTTTAGATGTTGGTGGTGTGCCCGTCGAGTTAATGTTGCAGTTGCACCATTGAGGAGTGTTTCGCTACTCATCGCTAGGTAATATAATTATCACACAAATCAGACATGTAGGATGAACCTAAAGCCACACCACTCCTATAAGCTATTCACTACAATATCTACTGTGCATCTAATAATCAGGGCCGACCCTGAGCATAACCTGTTGAAACATTAGCCTTAGGCCCCCACTTTTAAAAAATTCTCCATTAATTTTTATAATATATAATGTATATATAAATAATTTAACTAATGAAATATTTTCTTCTATAACTTTTGTTTTCCTCACACAGCTGCATATTCAAAGTTTATTTTTCTTCCTAGCTCTGTTTCATAATTTTCAGTGAATTCTCCATTCTATTAAACATTTTTCTTACCCATCATCATTGATATTTGTTTCTAAAATATGACTATCAAAATTTGATGAATGACTTTGCAAGACTAGTTTTCAAAAATAGTAGAATTTTATTACCTTTGGTTCTTTTAGAAAACTTATTTTTCTATTAAAAGTTTAGTATTTTTTTATATTTAAACTTATTTGTATGAGAAAATTTTTTAATTAAGTTTTTAGGATAAAAAAATTTTAATTTCATTTTCTATTTTGTTTCAAGCTCCTATAATCTCAGGGCCGCCCTGCTAATAATGATCGAAAAAAACGAAAGAGCACTAATCTATTATTCGTGACAAGACAACATAAGGATCCAAGTCACCAAGCTAGGTCAGACTTGACCCACTGGATTGACCCCCGTAAAGCGTATACCTAAGTTTGAATCAATATGAATTTGTATTGCTTTAGACTCAGTCAAACCAAAAAAATTAGATAACTTGTTTAAGATTTATTTCCTGAGACAAAATTAGTAGTAGCCTTTAGCCTTGTATTTTCGGCCAAATCATTTGAAACTACCAACATGTCGTTTAAATATAACAACTACCATTCATATATTGTATCTTTTTTATGTAAACAGATGTATCATATTGTCTTATGTGAACAATTTCATAAAAGCATTAAATGTACAATTTCATTGTCTAGGTGATTATGTTTGAGTATAGAAAAGGATTTCTCAACAAACACAAACGATTCTCTTCATTCCTCTGTATAGACCCGCTAGGCTATCTCATGTATATAGTTTCAGTAAGACTCCAAGAAGGAATGCCGTCGTGACATCACTATGTTCAAACTTTACACCACTAGTAAAAGTAGTCTGATAGATATGGGGAAAGGGTCGATTCTGGTCCGAACTATCTTCATGGTGAATATTTATACATGAACTATACGATTCCTACATGTTAGCGTAGAACTATACACCTAGAACCCAAAATGTGGGATTCATCAAGTGCATCACTACCCATTTTCCTCAAATTGATGTCTTTTAAATAATTATTCTTTGAACAATTTTTTTTGTCTGGGAACATATCTTTAAAAAAGTCTAATCAAAACCCGTTGGCCTTGACTCTATTCATATCTCTTGTCCATATATATATTGTTCGGAAGCGCGGAAACGACTGTCGGTTTTCTCCAGTGTCGAAGACGTTGCATGCCAATTAAGGAATAAGGACGTCGAAGTGTTTGCCTTGTCGTATACGTTAGCGAAATTGAGGGAATAAAACTCTTCTCCTTGCTCCTGACGTCACCATAAAAAGTGAGGGTTTCTAAAAAGTAGTTTTCTCTGATCAAACGATATGATAATTAAAAAAAGCCTCTACTTTCCTCTATTAATTTTATTTTATTGTCAATGAAAATTTCTTTAATTCAAGCCAAAATAAAGGTTTTGATAATCAGACGTTATATGTTTATATAGCTGGAAAGATCCGTCCTCCTTCACCTCCCACTTTATCTACTCTTCTTCCTTCTATTAACCATCAATGCCGTGCACACTACCTTCCTCTCCGGCGATGAAAATGATAGTTTTATAGGATAAGAAAGAAGAAGATGATTTTCACTTGATGTGTCTTGCTAGAGCGGATACATACAGAGAGACATATCAACGGCTAAATACTATTTACCAATGAATGACGAGTATATACGAAAGAGTGGTGATTGATATAATTAAACTGGCTACAAACCAGAAACATATTTGGGTCGATTTATTATAATCGTGTCGCCCACATTTCATCAAGTGATCAAGAGTTATATCTTGAAGGGGTGTATTAAGATTCATAGAGATTACCGTAATAAATTGTAAATAAAATCTGTATCAATTACGATTACTTTAATATATTCTCTGTAGAGGTTTCTAGAACTTAGGGTTGTGTCTACTTATACTTTGTACCACTGTCTTTCTCAATTTAATACAATAAGAATACTTTGTACTACCATAAAGGCAACATATTTATAACTCAACGACAACTCAAATCCGTGAAGACCTTGCTCATTGACATTGTACCATCTTCAGATTGGGATTGAGTCCATGTGAAAGCAGGAGCCTTAGGTGAAGGAATGGTGATTGTCTCACTGCCGAGCCAAACTGTTATTGCGCTCATGGTTGGTCTCTTTGTTGCATTCTCTTGAACACACAACAAACCAACCTGGATCAACTTAATAATCTCGTTACTCGGAGTCTCTGCCAAGAAACGATCAATTATAATCTCAGGCCTTCCTTCAACCCATCTTTTCCATGCCTGAACAAAAATAAATAAAACATGTGTTCTTACTTTTTAAAGAGGTTTGAAGATACAAAAGGAAGGACCAATAAGAAACTTACGAAAGCTGCAATTCCTTCTGCTTCGAAGCTATTGTTTCTTTCACCACTTATTATCTCTAGAAGCAGAACACCCTGAGATTTGTCCGCGTGCCAGGTATTCAGGAGCCATATATCCACTACACATATATGCAAATTAATTCATCCAATTAAGAATGTCTCAAACATTCTTTTTTAAACATCATATTTATATGTTTCTTATTCTTACCGGGTTCCAGCTATTCTTTTTGTTTCAGCTCGAGTCTCATCAGTGTCGAACAACCTCGCGGTCCCAAAGTCTGCAACTTTAGGGTTCATCTCTTCATCTAAAAGGATGTTGCTCGCCTTCAAGTCTCGGTGAATAATCTTCAGCTGAGAGTCTTCATGGAGATAAACAAGACCTCGAACAATGCCTTCTATTATTTTAAACCTCCCCTCCCATGTAAGAAGGGAACGCCTCACTTCATCTGCGGAGTTCAAAAAAACATTTTATTGCTAAGAGTTTCTAAAACTAATCGAAAATGCAGATGTCTTTGCAAGTCTCACCGAAGATAAAGTGATCAAGACTTGAGTTGGGGACAAACTCGTAGACAAGAATCTCTTCACCTCCTTCATTACAGAACCCAAGAAGCTTAACCAGATTCTTATGTTGGAGTCTTGTCAAGAGTGAAACCTCATTCTTGAACTCCATACCTCCTTCTGTTGAACCTCTTGTTAATCTCTTCACCGCTATTTCTTTCCCATTTAGTAATACCCCCTGAAACGGTTTCTCAAGATCTGTTACTCATCCAAGACCAAGATCTGTAAATATTTCATTATTACGAAAAAATTGTTATAACTACCTTATAGACTGTACCAAATCCACCTTGACCAAGCTTATTTTCAGACGAGAAGTCATTGGTTGCCATTAAGATCATACCAAGATCAAACCGTAACATATATTGACCATCATCAGAATCAGAGTACTCTGCACTACCAACTAAAATAAAAAGAAGAAAATAAGGCTTACTCTCTACATCATAAGGTTGATTGAAGCACAATAAAATAAAATAAAAGCAGGTACATTTACCATTGAATCTATTCTTTAATTTTCTCCTCCGAGCATTGAATTTGAAGAAACTAATAGATACCACAAGATTAAGGAAAGTGCCAACCACAATTATCACGATAATTCCCCGATATCCAATGTTTTTTCCTGCAAATTATTAACCCTAATTAGTCCGAAGAGAACATATTTATCATACATTTATCCGTACAATTTATGGAAATGCTCCAACTCAATTTATTTTACCTTTCTTGTTTGTTATAGGGCTCCCTTTTTCTCCCTGAGGTCGAGGAGGCGCAGGAACTCTTGTTACATTATCAAAAGCACCATGGAAAGGAAATAGATCCCACCTGAAAAAACAGCTCGGAACATTAGCCACGCCTCCTCGTTTTCCCCGAAACTGTTCTCTATAATACGTCACGCAATCTCCCAAACATCGCTCGCAATCTTGGGAAGTTAGGTCGGGTGTGCATTGCATGAGCATGTAAACATTTAGAAACTCGGTGAACTCGGCTCTTTCGGCAGCATAGTACTTGAGTACAGACGAAGTTTCAGCTTTTGTGGCCGCCTCGAGGGTCCGATTAACCGTTGCTTCCCACTCTTGTATGAAAAGAGTAATGTTTTTAGATGGATCGACATTATCTTGACTTGGATATAAAACAGAAGGTCTGAGCTCGAGTTTCCCGAAAGTTGAGCTGTTTGAGGAACGTACAAGACAAGAAACGCGGTCTTCTTCGTCACTGCCCCAAACGAACGTATCCGTGCTGTTTAGACAACTCGTTTGTGTCTCCTGAGTAAGCCTCTCGACACAACTGATACAAGCTTGTTGCTCGTATCCTCGTGCGCAGAGGGCAAGAGCGTGAACTCTGTTGGGATATTGGCCGAGTGAAGCGTTGTAGAATCCACCATTGGCGACGACTTTATTAGCAAGAGTAGAAAAGAGATTGCGGCGATTCTGAGCGTAGGCTGCGTTGAGGGAGCTTCCGAAACACTTGGCGGCGTTAGCAACTTCGAGGTTTTGAAGGACAAAAAGAAGAGAAGAAGCGAGGAAAATCATCAATGCAGGGAATTTCCCCATTATTATTTTTCTTTATCTATGATAACAACTTTTTTTCTTCTTGTACGTTATTTATTAAGATGTAATCTATTTTTGAGCTTTGTTAAATTTATATAGGCGAGATGAGAAAACGAGTACTGCGACTTCTAAAGACTAAGAAAATGCGTATTATTTCTAGATGTGCTAAGACTAGCTTTAGTCCATGGTAGGGGTAGGCGCAGAGTAGTATTACAGTTTGAATTCTATGCAGTGTTAAATACTGCATAGACTTGTAATGTACGGTTTGAATTTTATGCAAAACAAAAATAATTATCGTTTAATTATAGTTCTAAATCTGCTAGTTCATTTACATGTTGTCTAAATGAACTTCTTTTTATGTACGTCATACTATACTAAACAATATCATATTTTATCTCGTTTTATATAAAATGCTGAATTCTATTGTTAACTATCCTTTTGCAGTTTTAGTACTGTTTCATGCAACTGTTTTATGAATAAGTTTGAGTTCTATTTAAATTTATGCATTTTGTTGGAAAATTACCTTATAGTTGAGATAATCTACGATACAAATATAGTTTGTTTACTTCACGCATCTATATGATACAAATTACCTTCATTTTATTTTTCTGTAGCCCTAGGCTTCCACGCATCTATATAACTTCATAATTCCTTTTCTCCTTGTAGGCTTCTACGCGCTTGCTATATGAGATTACTGTATATTTTAAACAGTTTCGAAACCATTACTAATCTTTTGATTTTATTTTCATGGTCGTGTGGTCCATGGAGAGTGTAACTATCGGAAACGATGTCGTTTTCTCCCAAACGTATAAGTCTTGAGCAGATAAAGAGCCAATATGCCTTTAATTGTTTGAAAATAATCTCACTACCCCTCTCTTAATCTCAATGCCCTCCACTTATTCTTCTCTCTATTTTGCTCTCACCCTTATTGAATAAAATATTAATATCCGAAATTAATGAAATAAATAAAATGAAAAACAAATCCATAATATTTTAATTTAATTCTCAACTAAATCTCAACTACCTACGGACCCCACATCTTCATCTTCTTCATGGTCCCTTTCGCTGGTTGGCGGATTCTTCATTCCTCCTGTTTCCCAAAACCCAACATTCTCCATCTTGAAGCTATATGAGAACTTTATAAGGTGAGTCTTTTGCCACATTATCTCCTTTACATACGCTATAAATTTTAGAATAATAGGGAGTACTACACATTGTTACTCTTGGTCTTCCAATAGCGCCATTGTTCTGAATTTTTTGTGGATGAATGAATAATTGAAATTCTTTGCTAAGAGTTGTAGGTCGGTAAATAGGAGCAGTTATAATCGTCAAATGAACATCAAATCATCCCGATTCGTAGTAAATCGTTGGAGATTCGTAGATAAATAGAAATTTTCTGGGTACACGAACAGAGTACTACTAGACCAACTAGTATTACTAAGACATCAGGTATTACTGAGAGCAACTGGTATTACTGAGCATTGTTTAGAAATGGAAACAACTGGGTACAACTGGTATTACTGCTTGTATTAGTGAGAGAAATGATATGATTGAGACATATACTAATGTTATTTGTTATTTTTATTCAGGGGACAATGAATATAAGTCGTTTCACTATTATATGCTTCGATTATGGGGGATCTTATTCAAAGGAAGGTGATGTCATAAGATGGGTATCAAGAGAAGATGAAATTCACACCTTAGTGATGAAGACGTCTGTTGAGGATGTAACTTATGCTGGGTTGATCAGTGGAATATGCAGGAAGATGAAGATAGATGAAGCTAATACGCAGCTGAAACTCAGTTACTTTCCATTGGTAGTGGATCCTAAGCCATCATATATCTGGAATGATGAGAATGTTTTTGGCTACCTGATGCAAGTGAATAACGATACATGTAGAAGTGCTTTGCACGTGGAAATCGTGGAAGATGTCGATCAGGGTGTTGTGCGGCCTTCAAGAGAGGATCGCGAAAGTGTAAATGGTCCAGGTAATGAGCAGGTGTTTTCAAGTGGTATGGATGTTAATGCTGGTATAATTACTCTTCATGGTGGTGAACCATCAGAAGGCCATCAAGCAGAACAAAGAAATATATCCAGGGAAGAGGTTGATGATATTGAGTATGGACCTGCTATAGAAGAAGTAGCGGTAAATAATGGCTGGGAAGATGGTATTGAAATGATTGTAGGTCAAGAATTTAGAAGTAAGAAGACAGTGCAAGATTTAGTTCATGTAGGCTCACATCAGAATTGTTTTGAGGTTGATACAATCAAGTCTGACAAAAAGCGATACGTGGTGAAATGTCGCGAAGCAAAAAATGGTTGCAAGTGGTCTTTACGAGCTGCAAAGTTGATGGAATCAGATTGTTTCTCGGTAAGAACTTACAACAAGATGCATACATGCTCTCGAGCTTCTGCAGTGACAGTTAGGAATAAAAGGAAAGGGACACCGGGTTTGGTTGCATCTGTTGTGCATGAAGATTATCCGGGTAAATTTGACACTCCAACTCCAAAACATCTGATCGATATGGTTCAAGGACGACTTGGGGTAAAAGTATCATACTCTACTGCTTTGAGGGGGAAAAAACAAGCTGCAAATGATGTGCGGGGAAGTCCAGCCGAGAGTTACCAGTTGGTGTATTCCTATATGTACATGCTGGAGTCGATGAATCCTGGTACACGAACTTATGTGGAATTGGACGAAAACAAAAAGTTCAAGTACTTATTCTTTGCGTTAGGAGCTAGCATTGAGGGATTCCAAGCCATGAGAAAAGTCATTGTTGTGGATGGAACCCACCTTAAGACTGGATATGGTGGTGTTTTGTTAGTTGCTACAGCTCAAGATCCTAATCATCACCATTATCCAATTGCGTTTGGTGTAGTTGATGGTGAGAAAGATGCTAGTTGGATGTGGTTTATGAACAGGTTGAAATCAGTGATACCGGATGATCCTGAATTGGTGTTTCTTTCTGATAGAAACTCAAGCCTCATCAAGTCTGTGCAGGCGGTGTTTCTGTTGTCTCAACATGGGTATTGTATTCAACATTTGTCTCAGAATGTAAAAGCGAATGTCTACTACGTCAACAAGGATATATGCGTTCAGAAGTTCAAAGAATGCGCTCATGCGTATACAGAGAGTGAGTTCCTGACACTTTTTGATGCTTTTAGAACCAAGTATCCTTCCGCAGCCCAGTATCTCAATGGTAGTGTTCCTGTGGACAAATGGGCAAGATGCTATTTTCCAGGAGAAAGGTACAACATAGACACCTCTAATATTGTAGAATCTATTAATGGTGTTCTTAGGAAAGCAAGGAAGTACGCTCTATTACCAATGATTGATGTGATTGTTGATAAGCTGGCTGAATGGTTTAACAAGCATAGGAACAGTTCTTCTGAAGTATCAAGCACCCAGAAGCTTGTGCCTTATGTGGAGAAAGAACTGCATAAAAGATCACCGGAAGCGAAGAAATTAACGGTGCATGAGTTGAACGCCTTCTTCCTTGAATTCAGTGTCATTGGAAAAGACGGCAAGTGCTATTTGGTTGATATGAAAAGGAAAAGCTGTAGTTGCAAGTGTTTTGATATAGACAGATACCCTTGTGTGCATGCAATAGCTGCTGCCATCTTTATGAGCGGAGGCCGGGAACTTCATCTACAAGAGTTTTGCTCGAAATATTATTGGATGGAGCTATGGACATTAGCGTACTGCAGGACGATTTATCCAGTACCACACAGGTCTGATTGGATTATTCCTGATCATATACAAAACCTGGTTGTCATACCACCAGATTATGTCGCAAAGGAAGGAAGACCTCAAGAAAACCGGTTCCCATCAGCTGGAGAACACCGAGGAAGAGGGAGAGGGAGAGGAAGAGGAAGGGGAAGAGGAAGAGGAGGGATGTGGTCATATTTCTTTAGTGGTAATAGTGAGGCTGGTGAGGCTGGTGATGCTGTGTAGCTCGTTTGTGTTTATTTTGTGTAATCGGAATACTTGGAACAACTGGTGCAACTGATAGTATCTAAGATGGTTTTTTTAATGTATTCAAGAGTATGTTTGTTTGTAATTGAATTTCGAACATTCGATATGAAAAAATCTTGTATTAGTTTATTTAGAGTTATATTTTATTTTTAAAATTATTAGAAAAACATACATTCAATATGAAACAATCAAATAAAGAACATTTACACAACAAACACCATACACTTCTATTAACACTTTCTAAATACTAACCACCATATGAAGCCATCGACAGATACGATGAGTTTTAAACATTTTTAATGCATAAAACTCTTAGGCTTAACAACAGAATGACTAAAATCATCTGTAAAACTATAAACATGAAATTTATTGCGGAGTATAACTATATAAAGTTAAAAACACCCAAAAGTACAACTATTTGAAAAAAGTATAACTAAAAAACTACGGATTACTAAGTGTAATTTTGGCGGCGTCCACGTAAGCAAAAAACGGCGCACGTGTTATTTTGGTGGGGAGCGGGAAATTTTTGGAAATTCAGGACGGGTTTTCCCGGTTTAGGGTAAATTGTAGAAATCGGGGTCCTAGGAATTTCTTTCACTTCTCAGATTCGAGTTTCCTCCTCCCTTCTCTCTCTCTTAGGGTTCTAGGGTTCGTTCTTTCTCTCTTAGGGTCCTATCTCTTTAGGTTAGTCGATCTCTCTCTCTCTCTCTCTCTTAAAATGGATTCGGATTGTAGCTATCACTACACGGACAATTTCCTCATCGACCCATACGAGGAGGAGTTGAAGGAAGAGAAGAGGCGCCGCAAGGAAATGGAGAAGATGAAGCAGCATTCAGACATGGTTGGATTCGTCGCCGACGGCCAATATGGGATTCCGAGAAGATGCCCATGTGGTGGATCTATCAAGCACGATGTAGCTCCTTCTCCAAAATTTAAACACGATTTCGATACTCAACCAGGCAGTAGGTACTTCACTTGCACCAAATTTAAGGTATAATCTCAATAATTTCAGATCTGGGTTTTTTTCTGGGTAAAACTAGGAATACTAGGTATAACTATAATGGATGTTGCTCGT